CTAAGTCGATATCTCATTCTTAAATACAATTATAGAATGTAAAAGTTTCGACAAATAGGATAAATTTTTAACTGCTGGAATAAAAATTTTTATATATATATTATTATATTATAATATTTAATATATATATATATAAAACTATTTTTTATCTTATTTTTCTTTTTATCCTTTTTATCGAAATTTAAAAATAAATTATTTAATTTTGCAAATGTAATCGGTCGTGAACATAGATTAAAATATTATTATACCGAATTGGTATTCACATTTCCTTCGTCACTTAATCGAAATGAAATCTATTGATGAATTGTCAGAAGCAGGATAGAAAATTCTGCGAAAAAAATAGAACATTGAAGGTTCTGAATGGAGAAGCACAGCTTGTAATCGTACAGAATAGAAAGATTAGGGGATCTAGTTGGAATACTATACACAATGTTAGGGGTAGGTAGAAAAATAAAGGGAGAACCGTTGGTCGTTATGGCAACCAGCGATCTACGATTTCATCTGGCCGACATCATGCTGTCTAGAATAGGTGACCTACTGATCTCGAGAAAATATGTTCTAGATTCTATATCTTTTACGAATAATTGAAGTTTTCTAATCTTCTATTAATAAAGTTCTTTAATAAAATTAATTTCGTTAATATGTACATTGATTTCAAGTTTATCTTGCTTTTTCTTTTATCTTGCTTCTAATTTTAAGTCGAAATATTATTCAATAAAAATTTACATTTAGTAATATGTTCCAAATATTTTATTCCAGCAGTTAAAAATTTATCCTATTTGTCGAAACTTTTACATTCTATAGTTATATTTAAGAATGAAATATCGACTTAGAAAAAATAAAATTAATGATCGATGAAGATTTTTTAATTTATTTACTGGGCGTTTATCCAGCTGTCTCAAAATTAGAATTCACTGAATATTTCCTGTGCGTTACACAATCTCCCACGAAACGTCGTTCAATTTGATTAAACAGTCTGCGTTCCCTGACAGAGCGTGAAAATCTCTGGAAGCATCGAAACCTCTTTTCTTTTTGAGCTTCGAAGCAGTAATGATCCAATCGGAGTTAACACGCTCAACTTTGCTAACATGTCCATTTATCATATTATCACCAGCTAGTTAGACAGTCTCTCGACTAATATTTTTGTTACATGACGAGAAAAATGTAAACGTTTCAATAGTTAACTTCTTTTAAACAAAAAAAAGTATTATTATATTTATGTCTATATAGTTTGTAAAAAATTTCATAAACATAATTTTAGTTTTTATTAAGATACTGGGAAGAAAATTAGAAATTATTCATTAAAAAAGATTTAATATATAATTATATATATTATATAATTAACATATAAATTTATTAAAGAACAACATATGAAAAACTTCCATACAGAGAGTTAATAGTCGTAATCGTTAATTGAGCGTGAAATAAGTTGAATCGTAAATGAAAACAATTCTACCCGAAGGCGTCATCTGTCCTACTTTTACTTTTTTCTTTTCTTCTAGTCTCGTTTGGATAAATCTTTTATAGTTCATGAAACTA